CTTCTGCATCCTTTTTATTTTTATTTTTAATTAACCCTCTACTTTATCGAATGGGCACTGGTTTACTAGATTTGAAGGTTTAGGACCATAGGTCTGTGGGGCAACTCAGGCAGCTGGTATAATATAGTTCAGAAAGAATGTTCAACATCCTAGTTCGGCAACCAGTGTCTGAGGCCTTAAAAGTTTCTGGGTGGTCAATTAAGATACAGCTACTGGTCTCTACATATCTAGAGCAAAATAGAAAGAAGGCAACTATATATTCAAAGAAGAAACTAATCTTCATGTATTATGGACTAATAGTCTATAATTCATAGATTCCCAAACTTATTAGGCCTACTGCCTCTTTTCAGGGGAAACAAAAGTTACTCATAGCTCATAATCTAGCACAAAGTATAGGCATCTGCTTTTACAGCCTCTTGGATTATTCCAGCACCCCCCGGGGAAGGATATTGCCTACTTTGACATGAACCATGGCCTCACCTATCTAGAGGCAAGAAGAACTAGATGGTACCTGGCTACCACTGCAAATCAGGGATACAACAGATGGTCTAGAATAGAATGGGGAAAAAATATAGAACTAAACTTACATACTTAAAAAAAATTAGAATTCCTGGGCCAGTAGAACAACAGGGGGCCTCAATCCTCATTCTGGGAACTCTGAATATGGGACTCAAACCACTCAGGGAGGTCACCTTTCAGCCAAACGACAGACTGGTTCCTAAAGTCGTGTCACCTGAGAGTACTGCGCGCCTCTAAATAGCCTTAACACAAAAGAAACCGAACAGTTAACATTTAACTCAGACCAAAGAAGTGAAGGTAAAGGGGGCCCAGGATCTAGACGAATGGCATCAGAACCAGAATGGAAATACTGAAAATGCTGACATACCGGGAAAACATGTAATCCATATAAACGAGTATGTATGACGAAATGAGAACCGGATTTGCTTTCACCCAACACAAAGTACTAAAGATTTATACTGCAAACATGTATTTCATATCAGACCAGATTTTTAGGTAGTGTCTACAAATATGACATTATATTCTTAGTAGTTCAAAACTTCAATGATCCAGATACCTCTCAATTATTGAGAGATGACAATCACAAAGACCATCAAAATATGTCCTCTACCCACCACTCAGGGTATTTTCCAAGACTCATTTCTGTTGGGAAATACCGACCACCCAAATCCACAGTGATGTAAACAATTATATGCTCAACGACTAGCAGAAATGTTGGTGTCTGAAGCCTCCTTCAGGTGCTGTGGGGCCCTGGAGTAGTGGTTTACACAGTGGGCTGCTGATGGCAAGGCTGGGGTTCAAGACGACCGGCCACTCCGTCGGAGCAAGATGAGGCTTTCTGTCCTGTAAAGAGCTCCAGTCTTGGAAACCCACAGGGACAGTTCTACTTCTGTCTGTAGTTAGAAGTGTGCTGTTCTGAGTCAGAAGTGACTCCGTGGCAGTGAGCTTGTGTTTGGGTTTTGCCTCAGAAAATACGCCGAGTGAAAGCCAGGGCTACAGAATCTGAGAGAAGGGTTTGTACCCGGAGTGATCAGCTTCCCATACCCTGTCCTGAATTTTAACTTCTAGTCTCCTAAACTATGAGAAAACAAATGTCTGGATTTTAAAAGCCAAAAAGAAAAGAAGACTGGCAATCGATTTCTTGAATGGTCACGGGCCTCAAAACCCTCAGGAAGCAGTTTTCCTTTGCGCACATGGGTCCCCAGAAGTTGGAATAGAGCCATCAGCTACTAAGAACAAGGGCTGCATATCTACGCATCTCTTCATGACATTTTCTTCACTGAATTACATTTAAATTTCCTATTTATCCAAGATTACTGCACTTGTTCGCAAATTATAGGATCCTTCTTTGCCAACCATGGAACGTATTTCCATAAGTGCTGCTATAACCATTGTTTATTATAGGTTGCTATAAAAAATTACATAGTGCATTTACAAAAAACCCCAAGGTGGTAGTAGCTGGCAAACCATCATAAAGAGTGTGTAAACTTTGTGAAAAATTAGAGTACTAGAAGAAATCTTATGAAATTTACCATGACATTCACCAAATGAGTGAAAAAAGAGTAGTAAGGAAAGTCTTTACATCAGCTATCACATCTAATATAAAGTTCATTCAGACAAATACTTCTGAAAATTCAATTAAAAAACAAAAAAAATTGCTTATCCTAAGGAATTGACTATATATGCATACACACATTAATTATATACATCGTCCTTTTCCTAATGAGAGCAAATTAGCAATGTTACATTTTGCTCAGACACAAACCTGACATCCCATTGTAGTATCAACCTTCCCACTTCATAAATTTAATTCTGTCCTCAGTCCTAATTTTAGATATTATTTCATTACTTAATTTTTAATTTGAAAAAATTTGAACCTTAACTGAGCTACCTAGATCCATTTAAAATTATCTAGAGTACAAAGATTTCACTACCAAAATGAAAAAACAAACTCAATGTTGGGTCAACTCTACCGCACAGTGACCCTCTGTAGGGCTTCCAAGGTTTTGTAAATCTTTACAGCAGCAGACTGCCTCATCTTCCTCTCCGGGACTGACTATTGACTTTGAACCAATGACCTCACGGTTAGCAGTTCAATACTTACCAACAGCATCACCAAATGTACCAAAATGCCCAGTTATCTTGACTCAAGCACAATTCACGGTGATCTGGTGTGTCAGAGTATAACTGTGCTCCACGCTCACGGTGCCTACATTTTGGGTTTCACTCAACATTTTCTGCGGCACTTCTGGATGGACTTGAAGCTCCAACGTTTTGGTTAACAGTGGAGCATGCTGACTGCTTGCATCAGTCAGCAGCTATACTACCCTAACATTTCATAAACATAAAAAGACTTTGTGCTTATTTGCCCCAAATAAGTGAGGGATGATTATTTTATCAGTAACATTATCCCTTATAGATTTTCAGGTGAAGAGGGAAGTAATAATTCTGAAATATTGATTATACAATCATACACTTACTCAGTCATTTAATATATTAATAAAATAAATCTACAAACACGTGGTGCCTGTAATGGACTACGTGTGATATAGAAATGGAACAGGAACAAAGTTTTCTAGATCAACAGGTACTGACTCTGAATACACTTGAAATATGTTCTCAAGTAGGTTTCTAACTACATACTAGTCTGATGTACTAGAGTTGCTTTAAGAATGAACACACAATGAGAATTGCTCATTTGAAATAATTTATAAAAATATTCCCTTCTAAGGGAAAAGGAAAGGAAAAACAATTTATTAGGACAAGCAGTGAGCTTCCATGAAGAACGCCAATGAAATTACTTAAAAATTTCAGCCAGCCAAAGAGGCTGTAAAGACAAAGGAGGGCCCCTGGCAGTGGGGTGGTGGGTGATGAGCTGGGCAGCGAACTGTAACATCAAGCAGTTTGAAACAGGAGGCTTTCTGCTCCGGTGAGATGTGCAGCCTCAGAAGCCTACAGCCCCAATACCATGGAGTCGAGCCCAACTCAGAGCCACGCCACGCCAAGAGTTTCCGAGAGTTGAACTGTTTAGGAGAACATCAAGCCTCATCTTTCTCTCTCAGAGGGGCTGGTGGGGCAAGCTGCTGACCAACGTGTAACCCTTATGCCACCAGAAACCCAGGGGTAGTTCTCTTCTGTTCTAGAGCATCACGATGAGTAGGGTCAACTTGGCGGCAGTGAGTGATCAGAAGAGTAACACTAGAGGGTACTCATACCTTAGAATAATCGACCATTTGAGACTAAAAGGGCAGCATTTTCCCAAAGGCAAAGTTCAAAAGGGTTATTAGTGAAAGAGAGGGAATGGATTCGGGTGATTAAGTGATGTTACCTTGCAGGGATTGCAATCAGTGACATGAAACAAAGGCGTGTGGATTGTTGAATGAAAAACTGATTTGCTCAGTAAACCTTCACAATAAAAAGCTGATAAGAAATTTCAATTTTAAAAGAGACAACATTTCCATTAACAACAACAAAAACACAGGTTTTCACCTACAACTATTAAAAGTTGAGTATATATTAAAACCAATTTTCATATGTTGGCATTTTCAAAATGTTATTCATTGCTGAATCGTCTTTGTACTCAATTGAGTAAACTGCTGGTACCATTAAATAATACCTGCATAATTTCTGCAAATCGTTTAAAATTACCTCGAGGGAAAAAATTAAACCCTATCTTCTTCAGATTCTCTTCAGAAGAGAGCACACTGAAAACAGAAGACACAACTCTGGGCAAGGAGGCCAAGCCCTGGGACAAGTTCTCTACCCCGCGGCAATTGGATAACTGTCCCCCCATGTCTCTGTGACCAATATTGCATCTCCTTTTTTCTTTTTTTTTGCATATGACTTGGTATCTGTGTAAGCCTTGCTGAAGCTGGGGAACAAGATTGAAAACGGGAGCCTGATCATTCAGTCTCTTCCCTCTTCCCCATCCAGTTTTCTTTCACTGCCTACATTCATCTGAAGAGTAAAGTTCTGAGAGAGTAAATGAAACAGGAATGGAAGCAAGAAAAAAAGTTATAGTGGCAGTAATGACAAATAAGGGAATGACTTAGTTAAAATATTTAGTTTAAACATTTCTATCAAAAAGGAAGGTTTGTTTTGTTGGGGTGGGGGGCAGGATGGGAACTGTTTTCTTTAAAAGTTACAGAGCTGGAAAAGTCCCGAGGGAGCAGTTGGTGCAAACTAATGGAGAGTTCCAAAATAGTTACTCTTCCTCCTAGTTCACAGATTGTTTGCCAGAAGTTAAGTTTTTTAAAAAGAAAAAGTCATCCAAAGGCATTTGCACTGGGAAATGCACACTTGAGGGCCAAATATCTTTTGTTCATCAAAGCTAGTTCCACAAGAATGGCTGGGACCTTATGAAATAACTAACAGATGGAAAGTGTACAGAGCAGTGGACAATGCAGACACTGTCCCTACCCGTAGCAGTAGGGCAGAGACAATTACCCACACTTCTCCAAATGCTGCCCATTCAATCTTACCGATTAGGAGTTGGCTTAACAGCACCAACAGCTGCGCCTTGATCCAGTGGGGGGCCTCTTGTGTAAATGCTGCTACTGGCTGCATGGCCATCAGGTGGTGGGTACTCTGATATACTGGACTGTTGAAGGACAGAGAGAGGGATGAATGAAGCACCAAACGTGAGCACTGAGGTCAGTCAACAAACAGCCCACCAATCCACTACAATCGCAATTTCCAATTGACTGATCACTGTGCTAATAACTTATGTAATGAAGTAATTACCATTACAAAACCCTTCGTGCCAGATTAAAGCTCATTTAGGATCAGGTATAAGCAATCAATTTCGTCTTTAGGCATTTCCATAATAGGTGATGTGGGGGAAAACCCTTAACCTTGACTGTCGATGTTAAAGAAACAGACCTTCAGCACTCTAGCAAAGCAAGTACCAGTGGTCAGGTGAAAGATCATCTGAGCTGCATTCAATGCATAGCACCCTCAGGTGTTTCTCATTGTATGCATGCAGCACACTATCCCTTTTCTTTAAAGGCAGGACTACTACATAGCACATGATTTACTGTTAAGAAAGGCACAAAAACACCAATACATTGATCTCGATCATCCAAAGTAAAACAATGTGGAGTCATGTATTTTTGCATGCCAATACAAGTCAGAAGTGAGTTTATTGAGAAGTGAGAATTGAGTTTACTATATTAAGAGAGAGTAAGGGAGCTGAAGTATATGAGTCCTATGGTTTTAAAACTATAAAGACTATATAGATTAGAAAAAACAAATGGTGAAACACAACAAAAGATAATCCAAACGTTTTGCAAACTGTTTCCATATATACGATGAAGCATGGGAGACACATAATAGACATCGAGGCTCTGAAGTCCTGGCGCATTTCAACTGTCTATGGATTCACTAGTGGAAAACACTTGAAATTAGGACTGTCTTAGGAAAGTCTTGAAGACACAGCTACTAATAATGAAGTTGATAAGAGCAGGACGGACTATCTCCAGATGCAAAAGTGGTGGGCTGTCCTCACTGGACCAGTGTTGACAGCAACACACCCACAATGCATCACTTCTCTGGAATATAATTTACAATACTGTACTTACACAAAGGCAAAACAATTTCTTATTTTCATTTAAATACTTTGGCTCAAGTTCATAAGAGTCAACAGGAGGAGGAGAAATGGAAACAGGAGGCACAGGGAGGAAGTGGTAGATGTGGTGTTACATTAAAGGAACCGACTGCGATCTATGAGATAAAACAAAGTGGATTAGAATGGCTGAATAGAAAATTGATGATCTGTGCTGTAAACCTTCACTCTATCCACAATAAAAGGTTGTAAATACATGCTTTGGTTCAGTCTCTGCATTTTATTATTTCCCTGAGAGCTAAAACATGAAATGTTTAGTAATTTTTTCATCAAAGGCTACAAGGAAAGGAGCAGTGCAAGAATGCTCAGGATCACCCACACGCTTTGTCAAGCCCTGGGTGAACGTGACAGAGTGCAGCCACTGGGTCCTGAATGTGGGTCCTAGAAGGGAGGAGAGAATCGGTGACAAATGACTAACTGATGACCACATGACCTCACTGACGCTTGCTTCCAGAAGAATTCTACCACATGTATTTGTCATCCAATACCATGACACCTTTCAATGCTGAACTAAATCACCAGATCCCGAATGACATGTTTGGTCATAAAAGGATTTATTATAGGAGGAAAAAGTGTAATAAAATCTCTTCTCTAGGGATGACTTCATTTTTTATACATTTCAAATCCCCATTACTTGGCCACTTTCCAGGAAAACCTCCAGACTGCCAGCAGTCATCTTTCTCAGTTTTTGCAAGCCTTCGAAAAAGCCCTTAAACCATAAAATAGGAAACAGTTCACAACAGAAAAATGATCATTTATTACAAGGGATAAGTCTCAATAATCCTCGTTTAAAATTACTTATTCAGGGAGAGTAGATTAATTTATAAACTGGGAGCCTCGAATATAATACTTTCTTCAAATATGCAAAAGTGGGGGTGGGGGTACCCACCACAGTGAATTTCTGAGGCATCTATTATAAAAAGGATATATATTCTCTTTTAAGATGTGGAAATTGTAAACTGGAGATGTTTATGACTTTAAAATTGTCAGCTGTAACTATAGCAACAACAGATGGATCATAATTCCATGTCTGATTACATTTCTTCCTCTAGAAAGAACCAGGAAAGAAACATTCAAGCGAGGAGGTCTGAGCTATAACACAGAGGCAGACATTGGTCTATAGCCAACACCCAGACTGTGAGGGCATCTTCTCAACCCGTCATTTAGAGGAAAAGGCAGGTGTGGCATCCACCTCTTCTTGATAGGTAGACACATGCAAAGGCAAGTTAGAAAACGTTCTTCTTTCAAAGCAGTATATTTTACTTATAATATTTCAATAAGTTAACCTATAATCTCTAATATTCTTGCTATTGCTCACTGGATACAAGCAATTCCCAGATTACAAATGAGCTCTGTTCCAAATTTTCGTCAAATTTGTAAGTAATCTAGAAGAGTTAGGTGCCATCTGCAACCAACAGCAGTCAAAGGTGTGTTTTTGTACACAGTGTACCTTTCTTAGTTTAAAAAAAAACATTAAGGGAACATTTCCAGATACACTAAAACATCCTTAATATAATCACTCACTTTTTCACCAAGTCAATTCTAACCCATAGCAACCCTCTAGGACAGGGTAGATCTGTCCCGGTGGGTTTCCAAGACTGTGACTCTTTAAAGGAGTAGAAAGTCTCATTTTTCTCCCGCAGAACAGGTGGTGGTTCCGAACTGCTGACCTTGTGGTTAGCAACCCTATGCATAATAATGTTTTGATGTAAGTCACAAAGTAGTGTGCATTGCTTATTATAAACTGTTGTTGGTGCCTCAAAGCATTTTAATAAAATAGGTTGGACAAGGGTGGTTTGTAACTATGGGTTGTATATTACTCAAATATTCACAACCACAGGACTGACTGACTGCACATGGTCCCCAAGGGAATAATTCTTTTTCTTCTCCAACACAGACCTCATTCATCTATTTCTTTAAGTTCTGATCATCCTATCTGGAGTGGTTCTGCTTTAATCAATGCTCAATTTGCTCTTCTTACAGAAAAGTCACCACCCCCCGAAGAAAAAAACTCACTTTTAGAGAATGTAAAGAGATGGCACACCCAATTTCATTTCCTCAATTTGTTCCTGAAATGAATTAGCTTCTAAATTTTAATAGCAACTTAAAAGATACAATGCATTTATGACTACCTCGAACAAGTGGTCATTTGAGTCTGAGGACTGAAGTCCTCCTACCCAGGGTAGAATGATTTAAAAAGAAATGAAGAGTTCAGAAAAGAAAAGTTAAAGTATCTAGGGTCAGGGAATGGACAGGGTCTGACAGTAGATGAGGAAGTTAGAAAGAACTAAGTCAGGTGCACATTCAAAAAGGCTGAGGTCACCAGGGTGAGGCTCCTAGTGTGGGACAGGGGTGAGAGTTGACAGGCTATAAGGAAACAATGTGGTGAGGGTGAACCTTACAGGAAAAGAAGGCAACCGTCACAAAATGACAAAGAAGTGTGAGAGGGGTAACTTAAGGTCTCAGGATAGGGAAAGACTAGGCCAATGATTCTGGAACAAACTTCAGACAAATTAAATGAGAACACATAGATTTCATACAAAATGTGACATTAAAAAATAATCTCACCTCGGAGGATAATCTTATTTCTTGTTTGCGCTGATGTTCTGCTACATTTGCCACCGATTCAGCCAAATGGTAAAGATCTTGTTCCATTGGAGCCCCCATGAAGTGCAGCATTGGGGGCTCCCAGCCATTGCGGAAACGCGGGACATAGGGTGGAATAAACTGTTCTTTTGGCCACTCGGCTCTATAGAAGGGAATTGCCAGAGAGAAACGATTAAAATGAAGATAAAGACATGTCCATGTTCAATCACAATTATCTTTAGAAAGGCTAGACATGAGAAAATTGTAAGTAATAAAAAATGACACAGATGGTACATGTATGTCTTCTATTAACCCTCAAAGAGAAAGTGTGTTTACAAGCAGTTTCTGGGTCACAAATGAGATCCATTTCTAGGTGCACCTTTAAAACTCTGCCGGCAAACCAGAACAGGTACAGACCGTTCTTTAGCCTCATTTTAGTGCATGAAAAGGCTGAGTTAGTTTTTTCTTTTTAAAATCATTTTATTGGGGGCTTGTACAACTCTTATCACAATCCATCCATCCATCCACTGTGTCAAGCACATTTGCAAATTTGTTGCCATCACCATTCCCAAAACATTTCCTTTCAAATGTGGTGAAGAAAACTGATGGTGCCCGGCTATCAAAAGAGATAGTGTCTGGAGTCTTAAAGGCTTCAAGGTCAACAAGCGGCCATCTAGCTCAGACACAAGAAAGCCCACATGGAAGAAACACACCAGCCTGTGTGATCACAAGGTGTCGAAGGGATCAGGTATCAGGCATCAAAGAACAACAAATCATATCATTGTGAATGAGGGGGGAGTGTGGAGTGGGGACCCAAAGCCCATCTGTAGGCAACTGGACATCCCCTAATAGAAGGATCACAGGGAGATGAGTCAATCAGGGTGCAATGTAGCAACAATGAAACATACAACTTTCCTCTAGTTCCTAAATGCTTCCTCCCCACCCACTATCATGATATGAATTCTGCCTTACAAATCTGGCTAGACCAGAGGATGTACATTGGTACAGATAGGAACTGGGAACACAGGGAATCCAGGGCGGATGATCCCTTCAGGGTGTGAAGTGGCGACACCGGGAGGGTGGAGGGATGGTAGGGTGGAAAAGGAAAACCCATTACAGGGATCTATATATAACCTCCTCCCTGGGGGAGGGACAACAGAAAAGTGGGTGAGGGGAGACATCGGACAGTGTAAAATATGACAAAAAATAATTTATAAATGATCAAGGGTTCATGAGGGAAAAAGTACATCCACAGGAAATATATTATGACCTCTTAAATGGCGAAAATTCTTTGGTTGGGGTTTAAATTGTTCTACAATCACAATTTCCTTCTCCTGCCCTAGGTCACCTGTTTGTGATTTTGTGACAGTTGACATAGCAGAATCAGCGCCCCTTTGGCTTCATTTTTTGACACCAGTACAAGGACGTATCAGTTCTTCCATCCATCCCCTTACGGATGGGGGACTTAGAAACAACTTGTATTTGTCCTTTAATGTTATGTAACCTCGCCCTCATTTCAAAACAATTGAATCAAACCCTATTTTCCGCTGGAGTGAAAGGAGGTTTGTTGCCCTCCTAAAAATGTACAGCCTCAGAAAGCCAAAAGGGTAGCTCTACTCGATGGCAGAGGGCTTGAGTTTAATCATTGCTTTGTACTGTATATATTTTTATCTCCTCCACTCTACTCAAACTGCAAGTTTTTTAAGAGTTTAGATATTTTTCATTCTATAATACCTAGTTCTTCATACATAAAAAGGTCCAATCTCATTAACTCAAAACTAAATTCACTGATATCAGATCAATTCTGACTCATGCAGACCTTATAAGACAGAGGAGACCTGCCCTTGCCGGTTTCCCAAGGCTGGGTGGGTACGAACTGCTGACCTTGTAGTTCGCAGCCCAACACACAATCTATAGCTGTGAAAAAAGCAAAGAATGGGACTTAAAGCATGACCGGTGTACAGCACTAAACTCATGTGTACTTACCTGGCTTTCATCCAAGTTTCTCCCAATGACTTCCACAACTGGCGTTCCTCAGCATTGACAGTAAAATTTAAGAAATCAATTGTATCCTTAGTCAATAAGGGACTGAGTACTGAGCCAGCTAGGTCGGGACCTCCTGTTGCTTGTACCACCTAAATGAAGAAGGAAAACAATTGAGCAGGATGTTATTATTTGTGTATATTTTTAATGCACTGCCAAAAACTCATGTCAAAACCAAGCACTGCTTTTACATGCACAAATTAAACCTGATCTGATGCAAAGCACTACTGAATTATAAGGCAGCTTATTAAATATCCTGGCCCAGGCGAGTAGTGTCTAATAATCTAGAATGAAAAGTCAGTCGTTTAACAACTTTCATATGACTGCACTTTTCCTGTAAACACTGACTCTCCAGGTAATTCTAAGTTAAGCGGTTTAATTATCCCTGATATTTTGCAATATATGTATATACTTACTGGTAAATTTATTATGCCAAATGTGGGAGGAAAGCAGTTCTAGAAATGAATATCATAGAGGAAAACCAGGCTCAAGTGCACAGTTACGACTGTCTTTCGGCCGTACGACAGGTGTACAAAAATCCAAAGACCCACAGAGGAAGGGCAGAGAAGAATCGGTACTCTGACACAAGGGTATTTTCCCCAACGTTTTACTCCAGGACGTACCCCTGATTTTATATGGCTAAGTCAATGAGTAATAGAAACAAATCAAGAGCTGTGAGGCTCTGATAGCAAAATAAAAGGATTCCCAAAACCACTCAAAATTGTCTCCACAGGGGTAATATGCTGGTTAAAGAGATGCTAATTTCTTCTAGAACAGAAAGCAGAGTTCCTTCCTGCCTCGAGATATAGCACAAGAAGATATAGCACACACGCACACACACACACATATTTGAGTCATGTGTGTGTGAGTCAATTTTCTTTCAGTCATCCTGGTGTTCTGAGTTTAAGCTACAAAATATCAAACCCAAACTCACTGCCATCAAATTGATTCCAACTCATAGCCCCCCTACAGGGCAGAGGAGAATTGCCTTCCATGGTTTTCTGAAGCTGTAAATCTGAATGAAAAGAGAAAGCCTCCTCTTTCTCCCACAGAGCAGCTGGTATATTCAAACTGCCGGCCTTGTGGTTAGCAGCCCGACACATAACTCAGTCAACAGGGCTTCTTGCACCAGAGCATGCTATGCTTCGTTAGTCTCTTTGCATATGTTTCCAGCGCACTAAAGGCCCGGCCTCTACCTTGACTCACACCCACCTCCTCCTAACCCAGCAGGTGTGTAAATCTGAGGTCTGCCGTGCCCACGCAGCCGCCCACCACATCTTAAAACGGTTTATGCACTGTAGTTCACACCGTGTACGAAATGTACGGCTTGTTTTTCAGGTTTTTTTGTCCTTGGAGGGCTTGAATCATGGCTTATTTGACTTTGGATTGTAGAAGATACAGTGATCAGGAAATGAATGAATCCAAACCAAAGAAAAATGATAAAGATGGGAAATTAAGTCAACTTTTCTTTGAGAAAAAAATAAACTCTACCCTGACTAACCGGCACAGTGATTTTTGCTTTCCAAGCCCCATTAGTACTAGAGTGAATAAGGGAGTTAAAGAATAAGGGCAGATTAAAACTAGTTTAACAACAGGAATTAAACTTAAAAATTTTAATTAAAAGGCTATAGACCGTCATTCCCTCCCCAACATATGAGTAGATATGTGTGAATACATGTGTGCCTGTGTGTACTGTGTTTTTATTAAATAATGTGCACTTTCTATGCTCGCTTGTCCACTGCTGTCCTCCAGGGGGGCATCTTTAAAAATGTGCTCTACAGATGACATTTTTACAGGAACATGTGAAAACACATTGGCAAAGCTGCCTATGAAAATCACCTGCAAGGGCGGGGCAGGGTGGAGTTGTGGGTGATGAATGTGTGGACATTTGGCAAACAAAGGGAGAAGGCGTGATATTTGTGTAAAAATAGGGTGTGCTTGTGTGTATACATGCTGAGGGGAGAGGGAGGGGCCTACAAGCTGGGAAACCATTGAATTTGCCTGACCTATGACAGAGCCTGAACAATCTTCCTTCCCCTTCTCTTTGTCAAGCAAAATGCCCGAGACCTTCCAGGGAGAACAGTAAATGACGCAGCAAAAGTATTGTGCCTTAGGAGATCATTAATAAAGAGCTAGTTTGAAAAAAGGCAAAGATAAAATAAAACCATGTTTTACATCTCTGATCTGATCACAAAGACTATTTTGTTTGTACTAGAACAACCAAATTCGCCATCTTCAAGGTGATTCCAACTCAAACCTGTTGGTTTCCAAGACTGTCATTCTTTAGGGGAGTAGAAATCCTCCTCTTTCTCCCAACACAAAACCCACGATGCCACCAGGGCTAGTCCCATTATTTTACTGCTATACTGTGTATAATGACTCGACATCAATTGGTCTATGAAAGATTGTGAAAAGAACAGGAGGTAGCTTTGTAAATATTTCTTCATAGTTAAGCTAAGATTGTATCAATACGTTGTAAGGAATATAAATTTTGTTCATGGAGGTAGCTTTGGCTTCTTTGAACATGGATAGCCCTTATCTAGTCCTTAAAAGAGTTTGTATAGCAACAATTATTCAATAATCACAAGAGAAGTAGACATCTGATGTTCTCTATACAGCAACAACATATGGCACCATTAAAAACTTACTGGTATCGACTTGGACATTCATCTTCGGATCTCTTATTGTTTGCCTTCATTCATACTGGTAGTGCTACCTGTTCTCTATGTTTGCGAAGCAATAGTCAATCTGCATCTATGTCAGGCCTTCCTAGTTACCTCTCAGGAAAGATGGGTGCTATTGACCCCGTTGTGTTACATGGTTTCTCTACTTTCCCCCCACTTTTTGTAATCTTTATGTAAAGTCCATGAGAAATATTCCGTTTACTCCATATTTTAGAAATATTTTAAAAGTCAGGAGCAAGGTCATCTTAAGTATTAAATCACATTTACGGAAACTTAATTGCTTGATTTGACTTCCATTCTCATTCCTTTCTAACAGCAACAGAAATGATACACAGAAGGCTACTGTTTCCTTATAATCTTGGATGTTTTGATGCTTCGAGGGAAAACCATTTGTTCTGCTCCCTACATTCCTGCCTTACTGCTTCCTACCATAGGACGCGCTCTCATGCGGGAAATACATAGCAGAAAGAGATTCTGCCTCCTTCCCGGCCCCTCGCACTTGCGTTTCCTAATGAGAAGAGGAATGGCCCATCTAATTTGTGGAACTGGAAAGAATGGTTAACTGTTATCCCAGGTTAAGTGGGGTCTATCTGTATGTGAGGTCAACGGGTGTTCTTTCCACTCTCTGCAGTTTCCTCCAAACAGCAGTCGTTTTCTTAAATATTATTCTAACTCTTCAGCTGTTCTGTTAGGAAAGATGGTTGTATACAAGTATGAAAAAATCACTATTACAATGGTAAAGCAAGTAGTCTTGCTACAAAATCACAGCTACTTTAATTGAACAAAAAATATCAAAATGCAAAGCTGTTAATACACAACATAACCTCCATCTAAGTCTACACTCTTCTGAAAGTAGAGTTTACATCTGCACGCTTCGATTCATAGTATGGCAAACAATTTACAGTGTGAGGGGGAAGGTGGGGAGAGGAGGGGAAGAAGAGGGAGCCCATCTCAATGAGCAACATATAATCACCCCCACCCCCAAGGGGACGAACAACAGAAAACATGGGGGAAGGGAGACAGTGGCTGGTGTAAGACATGAAAATAATAAAAATTTATAATTTATCAAGGGGTCAGGAAGGGTGGGGGAAGAGGAGCTGATACCAAGGGCTCAATAGAAATAAATATTTAGAAAATAATGATGACAACATATGTACAATTATGCTTGATACAACTGATGTATGGATTGTTATAAAAGCTATAAGATCACCCAATAAAATGATGTTTTAATCATGAAAAAAATTATAGCATGTCAAAATGGCAGTTTGGGTATCCTAGGGAGAGTCAAATGTGTTCCTTTAAATTGTTCCGCACTTGAGTGGAGGGAAACAAAAAGAAGTCTGAAAGGGGTGAAATCCGCAGGATAGGTGGAGGGTACGTGGAGTCGGATTTCCCAATGAAATTCTCCTAAGACATCCTTGCCACCCTCAGAGAATGAGTAGGTGCACTTGTGGGATAGAAAAAAATACCTCAGCCCAGGGAAGCCCATTCCTTGTGCTAACCAACGCAGTTTCACTTTTCTTAAAACTTCTTCCCAATAAACCCTGTCCTATGGTGTAGTGGTCGCGCATTGGGCTGCGAGCTGCATGGTCAGCACCAGCAGCTCCTAGACAGAAAGACTATGCTTCTTACGTTTGTAAATAGATACAGGCTCAGAGACCTGCTGGAGGTCGCTGTGAGTCAGCACTGACTCTAGGGCAGCGAGTGTGTGCCCTTCAAGAAAATCTATCACGAGTATCCCTTTAGGCCAATACAATGCTCTGAGTTGACCTCCCTGCCTTGACTTTCAATGGAGCAGGAGATACTTTTGGAAGCCATTACTTTGATTGGACCTCTTTTTCCCAGGAAGACAAATAAATTACTGAGAGAATTTGTCTGCTGCCATTCATTGGTCACAGAGAAATGTTGAACTCATTTTGCTTGGGATAAATTTATGAACCGGAACGCTACTACCACTGCTTTTTTATTTACCCTGGTATCCTATATGCAAATAGAAGAAATTGAAAACAGAAAATAAAGTATTTAACTACAGCTATTTTATTAAACCTAGAAGGAAAGAGCAAACTTGGATATTGAACATCTAGGAATGAGAGCGGTGCATCCTATAGCCGTGGATATGCCACATGTGGTATAACCTTTAGATGGATAAACACGCTAACCACCCAGCAACTTTACAAAGAAAAGTGTTCCCAGTGCACCATTGTATTGGCATCAAAAACGATAGCTCATACAACTAACCTCTATTCCTCTGTGAGCAGGAGTGGTCAGGGGTGGGCAGTGTAGCGTATTAGGTCCATATCGCCATACCTGTCACGTAATAGCATGCCCAAACTAATTGTTTCCTTCTATCCTTTCTCATTATCTTCCTTTAGAGAGACCCCTGGACATTTCTGATGGGCACAGCACACACATCTGGGGACTATTCCTTTGTAATAAAGTGTGGGCATGTGAAGAATGATGTTCACATAACTGGCACCAAGTGGATATCAGCAGAAATTACTTTAGTTCAGGGTTCCTTCTTAAATGCAAAACTCTTTGCTGTGGCCTCTTTGTCTTTGTCTGATTATTATCTCCCTGGTTACTAGAGTTTTTACATAGCAAATCTATCCGCGTCTACGGTCTATAACTAGAAGCAGACTTCTCACCACTTCCAATGTCCACTCAACAGTCCAAGCCCCATAATCTCCACAGCCTGCATTTTCATAGCCACCCTGAACCCGCTCTCCTCCAAGTTTCTAAACATGTCTTCATCTAATGTTGAAAAGCCTTCGATTTTCAAAGGCCTTAAGATCACTTAATGAGCTCAACCTATTGTGCCCTGCTTGAGTTCATCTCTATTCTGATAAATTCCTCCTTCACTCTGTTCCAGTCGCAATACCTATGCATTTCAAGACTATACCTTACATGTTACCATCTTTAAAGCATTTACTTCCATTGTTCTCTGATTGGAATTATTTTTTCTCAGATATCCATCTGACTTACTCCTCACTTCCTTTGCTCAAATGGACTTTCTTAGGTATTTCCCTGATGACTCTATTTAAAACGGTAACTTTTCCAAATGTACAATGGCCTATGCGCACAGACACACCCAGGCACACAAGCAATTCTCCTCCCTGCCTCCCTTCCCAGTTGTGCTTTCAACATACAATGTTCCTTTTTCAGTAAACTAGATTGTTTGTGCACTGTTTATGTCTAGGTTCTTGGCTGCTCTACCACAGTGTAAGCTTCAAGAAAGTAAGTCATTTTGCGTCATAGCAGGCTCTCAATATGTATGGGTTGGATAACGAAATACTGTAAATAAAACACTGATTGAAACAGAGATAGCCCAGGAGCTGAAGGAACCTATCAACCCAAGGAAGCTGGGTTTCTGAGTAGTTTCTGGAGCAAAGCTATGCAGACATCCCTAGACCATTCAAGACAGCCGGCTTCATGAGAAAGAAAAAATTCTACACTCTTTAAGCCATCAAATATTTTATACTAATGTGTACTGAACATCAGCATGAGTTAGAACTTTATTCTCAGCTTTGTTTCCAAGCTCAATCAGGAACATCAGTCTCTGCAGCTACAACACACAGTGTTTGAACCAGATGACACTTTTTAAGCTTCTCTTAAGCTTTAAAATTCTACAATTTCAATGGCAAAACACATAGTGCCCATGCAATTTATGAATAAAAACTTTGTAGGTAGTCCAGCCATTCGGGTTACAAAAACAAGCCAGAACGATTATTTCCTTAAATTAATAAAACCTTACCATATTTAATGGTGTAAACAAAAAGTGGACCAAATCTTCAGCACTAGGATTCTGGATATGAGACTTCAACTTGGCCTAAAATATTAAAAAAATTGAAAATTTTTACAACTTGTGTTACTATTGATACAATTGAGCAGAAGCTAACCACTCAAAAGGACCCAACAGACTCGAAGAAAGATATCTTTATTCTCTTAATTTCCCTTTTAGCATACTCAGCATCCTGGGCAGAGTCATATTAGGAAAGTTTACTTTTAAAAAATTGATTCATTATTTTTTAATAAAGTCTTTTAGACATATAATTTATAACTTATTTTCCTAATTAAAGGGAAATCAAGATCGAGACATACATAAAAATTGTCAAAACCAATTTCATCTCAACGTGTAATCAAGAATATGCTGGCTATATTTTGATGTATATCTTTTAATTGTATGTAAATAGCTTTCACTTACCAGAAGATTAAATCCATGTTTAAACTTTTGGAAACAATCAACAAATTCATCAGGAGGTGGTGGTTTTGCCCGCAGAGTTAAAACACCCTCTAGTGAAATAGATGGAGTTAGAAGGTAGATTAGAGCAGAGTTCAAAGACAATCTATCAAATAAAAATAAATATATATCTGATACCTGACATACATAAGATAGTCTGCTACTCTACCATATCTTATAGTTTGACGGTAACAAATTAAGAAGATCCAATGTTTGAGAAGGATCCCTTTACCATTGCGCAGAGTCACGGCACAAAGGGTTAAAGCACCGGAAAGGATGGAGAGTCAAGTTGTCCATTGAGATGTGAGTGCCTAGGAAGAAAGAACTGGCAACCAACTTCTTGAAGGACCAGCTAGTGACACCTCTGTGGAGCACAGCTGCACTAGACCACACTTTGTCCTCTGTGAGTTGAAGGTGACTCAACAGGGAGCTACTTGTTAACCCTTATGCATGATGCATTCCTTATCCCGATTTCATAACGATTATGTCTTTTCTACATGCCAGGGATGTATTTATCACTGTGAAGATTATAAAGATGAGTGGATTACAGGTTCTGTCCTTATGCCTTAAAATCTAATAGGAGATATGAATGAATAAATATACACAGTGACTACCCAGTAAGTATTAAAGAAAATAACTGCATCTAGTTGGGAGATGAAGAAACGTATACCTAAGGTTTATTTCATGGGTAAAACAATTTTTAAGACAGAATATGAAAGGTCTGCTCCAGGGCAAGTTTGCATGAAAAACATCATGGTTGAATAAGAATGCAATGAGCACAAACATAAAGAAAAGAAACAGCATCTACACGCTACAACAAAGAGCAGAGAAATATGAGAGAGAGAGGATAGGTAGTTCAAGGTTAGCCTGGATGATGTTGCCTGCTAGAGTGAAAAGTTAGACTGAAATCAACAGGACACAGAACTAACATTACACAGCAGAAGGATGAAGTGACTCTCTTAGACCCTGAAGATGACTCTGCATTGCAGAACTACAGGACTTTAGAAAGAGCATAGGCTTGAAGATGGGTTAGGAAGCTGGGGACATGATGACGCCTTGGACAGAGATGCTGATTCTAAAAATGAGAACATGAATAACTGGATGCAGGAGATACTGGGAAAACAGAACTGATGTCAGCTAATAAGCTGGAGAAGGAAGTTAAGAGACTCTGTGATTCTGAATCGTGGAGAGCAGTGTACCCTTCATAAAGAATACAAAAAAATGTGGCTTCAGGTATCAGGAAGCAATCATAATTTTGGGGAGGGGTTCTTCTAGGTTTATACATTGAAAAGACAAAGCTGTACGTCATATGCTTAAAAAGCAGCTATGGGCCAGAGAAAAAACTGGAAGTTATCTGTAATGGAAAGAATATTTATTTACTAAGTGTTATTATTAGGTGTGCTCTGGTAGTATTTAAATGTTCAGCTACTAACATAAGGTCAGCAATTCCAACCCTCCAGTCACCCATGATCAAAAGCTATAGCAGTCTGCTTCTATACGTAATAGTGCTGTGTCTGGTTAGGGTCACTGTACGTCAGAATCCACATGACAGCTCAGGGCTTTGATTATGCTTGATAGATTTCAATCCATTCTGTTTTATTCTAAGAATCATGAAAAACCATTATTTAAAGATAATTTTACACATTTGGAGGACACAGTCAAACTGCAGCATACTTGCGTTAATTTGTATATGCTTTGAATGTGCCTTCTTGAAATTGTGATAAAAAATTAAATCCATATTCTCAATTATTTCAGTAAGAAAATACACTTAAGAAAATAATGATATCCTATATTTACAATAAAATTCTAAATCTGAAAAAGAAAGCTATGACTTTCTTTAACATTTAACTTATGAAACTAAAGACAGATGGTCACTACCTGAATCTTAGCATCTCTGTGAGTTAGGTAAGCATTTTAGGGTTTTCTTTTTTTTTAATCGTTTTATTAGGGGCTCATACAACTCTTATCACAATCCATACATACATCAATTGTGTAAAGCACAATTGTACATTCATTGCCCTCATCGTGCTCCAAACATTTGCTCTCTACTTAAGCCCCTCATTTTCCCCCCTCCCTCCCCGCTCCCCCTTCCCTGATGAGCCCTTAATAATTTATAAATTATTATTTTGTCATGTCTTGCCCTGTACGACGTCTCCCTTCACCCACTTTTCTGTCATCCGTCTCCCAGGAGGAGGTCACATGTAGATCCTTGTCATCGGTTCCCCCTTTCCAACCCACCCTCCCTCCACACTCCCAGTATCACCACTCACACCACTGGTCCTGAAGGGATCATCCGCCCTGGATTCTTTAGGGCTTTCTTCCCTGCAGCAAACTCAGAATCAACGTGAATTCTTCCCTGGACACATTATGAACTTTGCCTAAATGTCTGTTGCTACACGTAAACTAAAAATGTTCTACTGGTTCTCCTGACATGGAATTTTGTCGAGCAGTTCGCAAAGGGAGAATCTTTGCCCAGCACCAGAAGTCTGATGATCTTAGAAGAGTTTAGGGGGGAAAAAATCCATCTTACCTCCTGGACCTTTCTTTTTATTTTTCTTAGTCTTTTTCCTTTTAGAGAGTTCTGAAAATGCTTCAGCTGCTTTTTGGAGTTTTGTGATAAAAAACTCAATGTCATCCAAAATATGGTTTAAGATTTGCTAGAATTAAAAATTGTAGAATAAAGCATAAAAGAAAAGCAAACTATTTTTTGCTTTGGTTGTATACTGATAGCAAAAAAAAAATCATAAAGTTTTTTTTAAAAATATGAACATTCTCAGAGGTAATTTTGATTTTATCACTAATTCTAAGAAAAAGAATTGAACTAAATATACTTGTGGTTAAAGCCTGACATTTGTAAGTTTTTAAGCTCAGTGTTGCTCTTTTTAATGCCCATCAAGAAAGCATGCACAATATCTTCTCAGATTAATAGTTACTTTCAATTACCTCTAATTCTTCCAGTGTTCTCCCACACAATGCTAGAGAAATAAAATTCTAAGAAGCTTTTATTATATAAACACTGTTTTTTGTTTTCCTAATAAACATTCCAATATAGTAATGACAATATTATTTCTTGCAACAAAAGGTATACAGAATATTCTTGTAACCAAACAAACTAATAAGCTGTAATAACAGGCTTTATACAAGTCTCAACAAGGCAAATATATAGTTAATGATTCACAGTAATAGATCATTGGAATCCAGGGATCCAATGGATTTTCTATGTTGATTTTCTCTAGAGTGTGTAAAAGTTGACATTTCTCTAAAATTAGAAATTTTAAATAAATATGCTTTTAAGTTATAAGCAGTGAGAAAATGACATAAGAAATAAATTTCAAATTTCAAATTCCTTCAAGTATTTGTCTCTGTAAGACTATAGTCTAAAATGGTAACCTAAGTATATTATTAAAATAATTATATTAACATGATATGCTATGATCATATCAGAACATTATTTCTCTAAGTAAACTATAAAGAAACAAGCAAATACTGCCTTATCATTTATATAGCATTAAAATTTGTATCTCTAGTCTTTTAAAAATGCCACAACGTTTGATTTCCAGACATGCTACAATATATCTTAATAAATGTCAAGAACAAATAGTGTAATGGCTTTTCAAATATGAGTTACAAACTATAAGGGGGTAAAACACTGCCACCACCCTCAACTCTGACCATTTAGAATCTTCTTTTCAACTAGTTAATATGTAAGTCTTTTACTAAAACCATTGTGTTAAATATTGGCTTAGAGGCAAAAATAATTTGCTTGGTTTGTTTGTTTTTTAAGAATACAAATTCAGAGGGCATGACTGGAAGTAGAAAGTAGTTTCTATAAACCATCTTTGTTCAATCACGTTTTTATCCCTGTGACTTTTTGTAACACATAAGCAAAACGAAAAACAATGGCCGAAGGATAACTGCTCTACTCACCACATCTCTGTCAATCCGGGCTGCCATCATCTCAGGTGTTTCTTCCTGCTCCTGATACTGCCTTGGTTTTTCAACTACAGAAAGGAATAGCATAAATGTTGGGATCTGATGCTTCTGAGATACTAGTCTACTAAGCTAAGAACTGCCTAGAAGAGGGGGGCTGTTACAAATGAGGACACCTACATGGAGAGATACAGGAACCAGAATGGCATCATCATCCACACCTACCAGAAGCACCTGGGCAAGGCTACAATCAGGACCTTCCTACCTCTGTGAAGGTGATTTATCCTATCACTTCCACTCTGCCCTCTTCCTCCCTGTGGAACCAACCCACAAAACTAAACAAAATTCTAAACACTTAGCAACCCCATAGGACAGAGTAAAATTCCCCAAAGAGCTTCCAAGGATCAATCCGTATAGAAGCAGACTGCCCAGTCTTTCTGCAACAGAGCAGCGCGTGGGTTCAAGCTGCCCACTTCCTCTGTTAACAGACAAGTGCTTAACCACTATGCCACCAGAGTCCTTGGAGCAAACCCTCAACAAAGAAGCTTACTGTCAAGTTACCCTACAGGACAGAGTAGAAATGCGCCCATGGGATTTCTAAAGCTGTGGATCTTTACAAAAGCATACTGCTACCACTTTCTCCCAGAGAGCAACCAGTGGGTTAGAACTAAAGAGCCTGCCCACACAAGAAAGGAATCGCAACTAGCATGTGAGCACTTTCTTTTTAAAAAGCGTCAACCACATTCCAATGCCACAAGGCAGACTAATTTATATTATTCTAACATCGGGATTGCAATAAAGGTTTGGACATTCTGATAGTAAGTTGTTCTTAAAATTCTAGTTACCAGTAAGATTAAACTTAGAGTATTTGGCTCATTAGTTTGAATGGATGTGCTGTGAAAGCAGACCTATACAGGAATTGGAAAATGAAAGAATAAATGTCTCAAGAGCATTCCAGATGTTGCTGGAGCATGGTGTTACTCATGAAGTCAGTATTGTGAACAACTTCCTAGGATGAGTCAGTCCACAATACCACTAAACAGAGATGCTACAAAGATTTCACAGTAGATTAACTCACAGCACACTTATAGACCAGGAGAAGTTATCATGACTAATGAAAATTACAACTCATGATACATCATCATGACTCAGGATATTCAATACAAAACACTGCAAAAAGTGTTGAAAACTCTGTACTGATATGCGTCCACATGACCTAAATGATGCAGAAATGGAATATACGCCTCCCCCCAGCCCCCAAAAAAGAATAAGGAAAAGGATCAGTAAATTTCATGAAACCTAACTAGTGGCTACTAAATAAAATTTTTAATATAATAAAAATGTATATGTATGGAATCTTGCCAAGTAATTGCTATTTTACCAGTGATTAGTGATGATCTTGGCTTGGTGTACACTACAGAAAGCAGTAAACTGAAGTTTAAATATAGTCATTAAGAATTTCGAATAAGTCTTAAACAACAACTACATCAAAATATTCAATAACTAACAATTCTATGGAAGCTCAGGGCAGACTACCATATATTTGCTATTTTTATGTTCTCTTTGCTTTTTTTATTATATGTTTTTGTCTGGCAATGTTCTGGCTCTGCATTGTGACTAAGCATTGTTAAAAGTTTTGCCCTATCTCCCAATCCTCACTGTTTGCATGTTTAGTCACTTGTGTTTTTTATTTGTACAAGTATTTTGATCTAAAAAGTTGTCCAAAACATGTACATTTTCTTTTCTAAACAGTGTTTCAAATCCAATGACATTGGCTAAATTAATGATACTCTCAGTAGCATTACCATATGTCCGTGTGGATGCTTTATAATGTTCCCCAATGGGAAGGATAATGCTATCTCTAGACTGGACCAGGGACGTACATTAGTGCATCGATACACTAATGAATCTGGAGCGCACAGGTAGTCATCACCCTAATCTAAGAAACCTTACTAGATACCTACCCTGATGAAGTGGTCACTGAAGACTATAACCCCATAGCACAGTGTGGTGAAGAAATCAGATGGCATCCGGCTATCAGAAGAGATAGCGTCTGGGGTCTTAAAGGCTTGTCTTAAACCAAGCAGCCATCTAAATGAGATGTCAGCTAAGACTACACAGAAAATCAAGATCAAAGAAGGGAATGGCTTTATAGCTTAAATTCTGAGCACAGTTTGTCGAAGGCTATGGGTGACAATGAAAGTCCAAAATCCACTTGCAGGGTACCCACTTGGATGAAGCCTCGGGTGAATCCCCTGTGACCATTGACCAGGGATGTGAACAGCCTTGCTGTCAGACAGAGCATTGGAAAGTGGATTAATGCAGGTGCAGTCAGGCCAAAATTTAACACCTTATCATTTGTCCTCCCTCTTGACTCCTTTCAAATCTGGTCTGGGTTTTTATGATTTCCTGCTATCTTTTGGATTGAGGTTTTCCTGTGTTGTACTTTGCTATTGTTGTTGTTGTTGTTGTTGTTGGTGGTGGTGGTGGTGGTGGTGGTGTGTGTGTTTTCTTTCTATGAAATCCAGGACAGATAAAACCACAGAGATAAACTGGATTAATAGTTTCTTGGGGTTGGATTATGGCAGGGAGGTGGGAGAGGGAAGGATGAAAAACTGTTCTAAAATTGATTCTAGTGATGATTGCACACAACGCTTTAATATGTTGAAACTACTGAATTGTATAGTACATGAATTGTATGTCAATAAAACTGTTAAAGTTTAACAAGAATGATATATTTCAACAGAATATTAAAAACAAAAATTAATCATTCTAGAAGTACTCACAGTCCCCGTGGTCAGCTGCCCACGCAGACCAGGCTGCCACCCGACTTCTGACATCCACCTGCGTAACGGTCCCAGGTGGCACCGGGGCAGGAGCACTTGGTGGAGGCGGTATACCGGGGTCTGCTTTAGAAATCATTCTAAAGGTGATGAGAACAAATGGAATCGGTAGCATTTTCTACATCAAATTACTCAATTTATGTATTAGTTCTTTTTTTTAATTAAGCATTTTATTGGGGGTCTCTTACAAATCTTTTCACAATCCATCATTCAATAGTGTCAAGCACACTTGTACATATGTCGCCATCACCGTTTCCAAAACAATTTCTTTCTATTTAGAATCAGCTCTTCTTTTTTCCCCATCCCTCCCTCATGAATCCTTGATCAAGTAGATATTATTACCATGATTTCATGTCTTACACTGTCAGGGGTGGGGGTTCAGGGAGAAAGGAGGAACCCATCACAAGGCTGGATATGCAGTGCCCCCAGGGGGACGAATAATAGAAAGGTGCGTGAAGGGAGACAACTGACAGTGTATTTATTGTTCTTTAACTTCAAGGAACTATTGCCTGGCAGCTCAGGACCGGGACACATCAGGTCAAGCGGCGTAACAAAGTCCACAAAGACGAGGTTCTTCATGCTGGTTTCATGAGCAGATACTGAGCCCACAAGCTTGTGAGTGGTCCCCAGAGGTTTCACTGGTTATCCAAAGATGAGTGAGGAAAATCAGGAACACACGGATCTAACTGGTCTAAAAGACTAATAGATCAAGTGACCTCCACCCCCATGACCCTCAGGGACCAAAAAACTAGAAAGCGCCCAGCCACTAGCTACTAGCTGTGAAAGAGATCATGACAGGAATTCCTTAAGAGAGTGGGAGAAAAAATATGGCGCAAAGCTCAAAATAATTAAAATAATTTTTTCAAAGACCATGCTTACTGGTCTGACGAGAGGCTGGTGGAACCCTTGAGATTATGGCCCTTAGTCTTCCAACCTAGAACTGAGTCCACCCCTAGATCACCTTTCAGTGATCAATAGACAGGCCTAAGGTGAACAGTAACACCAAGGAGGTACTTGCTCCTTAGAAGAACCAGAGACAGAAGATCAAGAGGGGAGAATCTGCCTATGGATAACTGAAGGAAGGGATATAAAGGAAGGGTGACCAGAAATGGTAAACACAAAGAGAAAGTGGTAAGAGAGTGTGAGGACTACAGACAAGGTCACAAGACATAATATGTATGAATTGTTGAAAGGAAAACCAATTTGTTTTGTAAGCTTTCCCCCAAATCACAATTTAAAAGTTTTATTTATTGTAAAATAACTATGTCAAGGGGAAGAACATTACTCTGTTATCACTCCATCGTTTGTACGTATATTTATAAATATACACAAAATATAAAAACACAAAAGTATTTGAATTCCGCTGAAAACCAGATCGGATCTCTAATCCCCTCTTGCGATTGGGGGAATGCTGTGTACCAGCTGTGTACCCCATGTCTGGTTGATACATTCTCCTAGGTTTCACTCAACTCTCATGACTCTGTTACTCCCACCACGGGATGGAGAAGCCCTATCCGAGAAAAGAAGGAGCCGAGGACACACATACTGGTACCACTGGATGGACAAGCGAATCGGGGTGACAGACAGTAATCTGGGCAGCATCATACCACACTTGCATTGGAACTATTTTTTTCTAATCCTTCCATGGAAAAAGAGGTTTAAAAGCAAATCAATTCCACCCTTCATGTCTTTAATGTTTTACCTGAGGGCATCGGGCCTCCTCTTCTGCTTTCCTCCTTTACTGTCACTGACTGCGCTTTCAATATCTTCACTAATTAGGTTTGCCTGCAAGGAGACACGAGTTACCTGGGAGATTATAGATTTGTTTAAGTCTTGATATGCAGGCTAAAACAGAAAAGGGGATTAGGTTACCTGTCTGAATCAATAAGTATCTTGATGTAAAAGGAAAGCATTTTAGCTTTTTTATCTGCTTTCAAAACACGACTCCCAGTTTTTTATTTAGTAATGAATTTTATAAAAACAGGACGGAAATCCTAAAGATATCCTAAAGATTTCCTGAAGGAAATCCTAAAAATATCTACTCCAAGGTTCTCTTCATTTTAAAAGGCTATCTTTGTATAAAAGCAAAGGTAAGAAGGCGGCATCATTCAAATAGAAATCGACGTTGAAAACAGAATCGGATCAACGTCTCGGCCCGAGATGCAATGAAGGCTTCGATGCACACCCCCGCCAGCCCCTCCCCCCGCCCGCATCTCCAGAATCCAGGAACCTACGGAAACAAAGCGCTCGTGCCAGCAGAGCCCATCTCCATGTAGAACAAATCTGCAACAACCATTGAGAAAGAGGACGATGCTCAATGCCATCGAGCGAAACCATGGCTGCAACCCTGGGGTCAAACATGGCAATGAGCATGGCCCAGAAGGGGGAGCGCTTCTGCGGCGCATGGGTCATGAGGCGTGGGAGCCCAGCGGATGGCAGCGACCAACAAGATAACCACTGAATGATCCCCAGCCCAGAGTCGTGTCCGTCCTGGTAACACTTCGCTTTGTCATTTCAGATAAACATGAATTTCTCCATATAATCGGCTTTTCCAATATTTTTCCAACAAGAACAGTGGCGTCCATTTTCTTGGAACTCAGTGAGGTTAGCATCTGAAGTTATTTTATTTGGCTATGAAGTTTTTTTTTTATTGCCTGTGACTATTCCTAATACTGGATTATTGCTTGGATGTATCGATCACCTATTTTTATGCCTACTTGTTCTCTGCAATTATGCTTTTCTCAGATACATACCTAGATAATCATAAATACTTCTGCTGAAACAACACTTAAAAATCATCTAATCTGATCTCCGTGAAACACAAGAACAATGAAACAGCAACGACTTGTCAAGGTCACCCGGCTAGTGAAGTAAGTACACTAATGCACCCTATCCCAGTGTTACATACGTAAGAACAGCCTAGGTTCAGGAAAACATTACAAACATCAGGTGAAAGGCTTTTTATTATATAAGATATTGATACTGAAGGTGCCTATAAACCTGGAGCTGCCCATAGGGGGACAATTATATTTCCAAGACAAAGTGTGCTACAGAAGTGAGACAGGAACTTTATGTCCCAGGTAAGCAAACTTTAAAACACAGATGTATATAAAAGAAGTCATATCACATTTCATACTTATGTTTTTCAATTCTATTTCAATTGTACTTTTATTTTCAATTGGGCAATGGAAAAAACCCTATCTCATATGTAGAAGATGCACTAATGAGTAAATGCACATGGCTATTTAATGTTACTTGAGTTTCTAGTTATAATAGTTTCCAGTAAATTAATCTCATTTCCATTCTCTATCAAATAAAAAAAGCTCTGTTCTCAAAACAAAAATCCGTAATCTTTACTTAGCATAGTAACTCTTAGCTTCAAAAGGATTGTTAGAGAACTGATACAGATACACTATTGGAAATGTCTTTCATCATTGTCTCTGTTATTAAAATGTTTAAAATACTTTCCTATACTTGCAAAGTAAAATATTGTTTAACACTAACTGATTTAACACATATAATCCTTTAAGAATTCTATGATTAATGTCAAAAAGTATATACTCAAGTATAAGCTAACCCGAATATCAGCCATGGCACCTAATTTTATCACAAAAACTGCATTAAAAATGTGCTGGAAAACTCAGCTTATACATGAGTATATATGGTACTGTGAAAATATGATCACATATAGAAATTACCTAAAGGCAACAGATCTTTTGAAACAAGATTTTAGAATCTAATCTGTTAATTGAAATTGGAGGAACATGATAAAGTTCATTGTTCACAGCTGATCCAAACTTACCTATCATATTTTAATGGTAAAGATATACAGAAAGAAACAGGTAATTCTTCATGTTAATCTCTAAACATTTCTATGTAAGATAAATTTTACCTCAGTATTTTCTGATACACCATCACAATGAGAATAATTCTGTTTTGGCAAAGTACCAATTGACACAAAATTCTCTTTCAGTGATTTTTCTCTTTAGAGAATTTAGATGCTCAACAGATAGGGATATTCTAGTTTGCAGATAGCTTCTAACGTCTAATCAATCATCACAAATCACTAAAAAATTACAGCATCCTTTGAGACATACAATCTTGGCGCTATGGCAGCTCTTACTGCTACTATGCTCGGTGATTTTTCATAAGCCTTGGGGACTACACACCTTGAGCAGGAGTCAAGTCCAAATTTTAAAAAAATTAAAAACCCAAAGAACTGAGTCCACTGCTGCTGAGTCATTTCTGACTCACAGAGAGACTTTCAAACTGAGCAGAACTGCTTCAGAGAGTTTTCCAGCCTTTAAACTGTGAGCACTGACTGCTACATCTTTCTCCTCACGGGTTCAACCACCAAGCTTTTCATTAGCACCCTATCGCTGAACCACTGAGCTACCTTTAAATCAGTAGGACATATCTTAATTATTCAAATAATCCATGCAATGTGCAGAAAAAAATAAGAACAAGGAATTATTTATTATTCCACAAGCGTGGGTTTTAAAAGATCAATATGTAATGATGAATCAAAGGTACTCGATGAACATTCTAATACATTATGTAGAATTTTAAAAATAAATATAATCCACCTGATTTTATATCACTTTTTCTTCTCTTTATCTACTTGGTATTGAAGCCCTAAAGAAAGTGCTGGAGTATTTGCTTTTCTGAAAACAATTTTCACAAACAAAATTTAGTATATGTTATCCATAAGACTGAAATAGGTAATTTGCAAGCATCAGAACATTTCGGGGGGGGGGGGGGGGGAGGAAAAAAAAACAGGATTTTCTTTTTTCACCTTAACCTCGTCACACTGGAAAAGGTGAAGATCCGGCTTGTTCTGGGTTGTCTCTTTGCACACCAGGGCGAGTACGGAATTATAGTTGCAGGAGTGCATCACCGCTTGGCAGTGCTGGATTGTGTTTAAAGGGAAATTCTCCAGCTCATTCTAGAAAGAGAGAACATAGCTTGTCTTGTTGTTTTCATTGTACATGCAAAATCAAAGCATTCAACAAAAATTAGTATGTTTTTAAGTGTAAAAACTGTATTTGCAATGAATACGCGCAAGCACTGCAACTAGAGAGAATGAGTAGACAGCAGAAAAGCAAGGCTGGGAGCTAGGTGAGAAGAAAGAATGACAAAATGGAAATAGAAGAAAGATGCAGTCATGTTTAATAAACAGAATATGGAACTTAACATTGCTGGTTCCTTCAAACTATAAGGTAGAGTTGATGATGCCTTAAAGAGAAAAGGTGGCAAATTGAAATCTCTTTCTAGAGACTTGGCACAAAATACCCTATCCTGATGGTTATTCAGACCTGAATTGTTTTCACTTGATCACTGAGCAGCCATGTACTCAGTACACTCTCCTAGGTTCTACCTCCAGTGATCACAACTGTTAGCTAACATGAATAAATCTGTGTCCTTTTTTTAATTTAACTGAAGCTATCTGAGATGAAAACAATCACCATATGACAAAAATGTGAAACAGCCGAATCACAAGGAACTCAGTAAGAAAACGAGTTGCCTTGGGATGTAGTGAGTTTATGTTAAAGAGGGAGCACATCCCAGACAAAGAGAGTGAGCATGGTCGAAGCACTTGAACAGCGTCACTGAACTGTACTTGATGAGCTGCTGCAACGTTGGCTGTGTATACGTCCAACAACAAAATGGATGAACTTTTCAATGATAAGGAGATTGGATAGTACACACACAAATAAACGCTGTAACCTATAAAGGGTCATGCAAGTAAAACATGGAACATATTAAATAATTCCTTCTTAAAACAAATTAAGTTTCTCTTCACAGTTAGAAATATGTACTTGATAGGTGCTTCTCTTTAAATCAATGGCCTTACACACAGTTAGTGGGTGATATGAAAGAAATGATCATTTTGTTTAAATAAGAAAAGATACATCTGGGGCTTACTAAAATTCCAACTTTGATGACGGTCACACATATGAATAAACATCACCCAATAAATTTTATTTTAAATCCTGATTTCCTGGAATTCAACAAAGGTAATTAAGGCATGCAGCTTCTATTAAAATAGAAGTTAAAATTTAAATCAATAGAAATAATACTTTCAACTATCTAAGCCATAGCAGGGAGCTAATAAAATTGTCTCCTTTGCAAAAAATAAGTTAAATAATATCCTGTCTCTGTGATTATTCAAAATTATGAGAACCAGAGAAGCTATCTGGTTGCTGTTTTCCCACTAAATATACAACAGGCAGGTGAAAGAATGAATTCATTTTGTCCCTATTCCAATCAAAATAATCTAAAATTATGGTCACAATTGTTTTCTGTATCCTAGCAATTTAAATGCGTATTACATAAGGGGCCCCAGAAAAGTTTACTTTTGAGAGCCCTAGCTTCTTATTTGCCAACGGGTACATTAGAGAAGGGTGTCTGTCTGCTGAGGGCTCGTGAAGTGACACATAAAAATCCGTCATCCCATCTCATGCACGCAGTAGGCAAAGGATTAGCCTTGCATGTAATTAACATATAACAAAAAGAGCATGTCTCAATGAGGGCTTTATTTGACACCTATGTAATTTTTCCTCACATCTGTCATTTATAGATAAAATAAAAATTGTTTACAACACTGGTTTTGCACGCATCTACCTAGATCCCTCACTTCCAGTGAGTCAGTTTGGACTCAGGGTACAACCGTCTCTGTGGGTTTCTGGGGCTATAAAACTTTATGTGAGCAGAAAGCCTCATTGTTCTCCCGTGTAACAATTGGCAGGTTTGAACTGCTGGGCATGCAGTTAATAGTCCAATATGTAACCCGCTATGCTACACATAGGTCCTTTGCATATACGTGTATATTGTTTCCTCAAAACCACTGAACAAAACAAATCATTTTTTCAAACTTTCATTCATTTCCAAGCAATCTGATCTGAAGAGGAATGTCCATGTTTGTGGAGCATTCTTGAAAATAAGCTAAAAACAATTGAAAACACACTTGCCTTTGATTCCAAATCAATCAGGCTCACAGCTTTATCATCTACTTGGAGAATCATATCTTGAGTCCATACTTTGCCCTTGGCATCAAGCAATTTCAGCTTCCTTATTCCGTCATCAACAGTTATCATAGCATCTTTCCGATCCAGGATGAATGTAGTCAAGTGCTTATGGGTGAGAAAAAAGAGAGAAAAATATTTATCATGCTTACATTACCTCGTGGTATCTATTTTCCAGAAGATAGCAGAGCCAATATAAGTGAAGTCAATTAATAGATATGAGAGACAATAGAACATATTCCAGAACGCAGGAGGGGGGGATAATTTTATTGGCGGGATAAATTCAAGCAGGCTTTTATTGAATAGAACAAACAATGTCTTGATTCAAAGATATCTAATTCTGTTTAAGTCTCTGTTGAACTATATAATAATGACACTAAAATAAATTCTTAAAGCTGAGATACCCTTATCTTAGGATCAATCTGCCCACCAGTTCATAGATTATGGTTCACTGCTAAACCACAGTAGCAGATTATGGTCAACTGCTAAACCACACAGTAGCCTCGAAACTAAGGATGCTGATCCTTGACATCAAACACTTCATTTTACCAAAACCACTTGCTGGAACAAGCTATTTAAATTTAATTAAGCATGCATGATCTAGACAGAATACAAAGAACAATCTTAAAATTATCTCTCTACGTAAATATGTTCTATTATAAGCAGATGTCATCTGAGTAGAGTCCCTTTAAAAGCAAACATCTTAAAAAGCTAAGAATAGGACAAAAAAGGAAACCAACATTTAAGCAAAACTAGTAATGACTTTAAATAAAACTAAGCACAAAACTAGACCATGCACTAAGTCTGCCAAAGGCTTACTTTCAAGAGGACTCGGTAACACCATACCAAAACGGTTGTCTTGCTTTGCCCAAAACAGCATGGGAAAATGGTAACTGAGGAGGAAGGTTTTCATTTTAATTTTATTCTCTAAGAAAATAGATCTCAGACTACAGAATATATATATATTATATATATATATATATATGTACATATTTTCAGTTTTACAAAAACCTGAAAGGTCAATACAACTTAAAATACATCATAGGAATGAAGTAAAATGTAATTCTGATTTTGCTTCCAATATATCTCTCAAGGGTCATTCTAAAGTTTGGCAAACAGTAAGGCATCTTACTTCAACACGGTACTGGGACACATCGGACACACTGCTGACACTGTCCCGTGCATAATTCTTCCTTTGTTCTGCAAGAGAAATGAGAAAAGTCATGATTTACTCACCAATAGGAAAAAGCTCATGCACTGTGTCATGTGGTTATCTCAAAACCAGTCTATCTCACATGTAAAGAAAGTGGTTGACAAGTCACCATTGTGTGGGTTTCTGGAACATTCATTATTCATCGTAAATCTCACAGCCTAAATTATACACAAGAACACTTTGACCCAGTAGGAATTTCAGAAGTCCAAAGGTTAACAAGAATACAAATATAAGGAAAATAGCGATTTTCCCTAGAGGTTTTATTAAGTGGGACTGAATCTTTAACCAAAAAAGCAAAGGGGAAAAAATGACTTTCAAGTCACCTGTTGGTGCACTGAGAACCAAAGAGAATTGCAAACACGGTCATAGATACTGTATTTTATGAATAACACTACATAATTAAAATAGGTAAAAGTATAAAAATATCTTTCACAGCATCCAAACAAAGTACAGGGTTAGAAGAGACTGAAAACATGATTCAGTCACACTGACTGTTGTTAAGCATTAACCCTTTCACACACATCCATAGGCAACAACAAACATGATGCTCAGAAATGGAGAAAAAGTGCTAGAAAAAATTGGTAAGAAAGTTGCTTCAGCAAACCACTTAAAAAACAAAAAGAAACCTCTAACTTTCCCTTGTGAAATGCTGCAAAACCAAAAATTATAACTAAAACAGAAAATCCAGGGATGCAACATTTGGCCCTTGTTGCTTTCTAATCAAGCAACTTGCTTATTTGCAAATTCATGGTTGCTCTATTTCTTCTAAGGAAAAATACAAACAAAGCAGTGAAATAATATCAAACCAAAAGACTCTGAAAGCATTACAATTCTGGCCTATCTACGTAAAAACAACAGAAAAGGATATTCTGTTTCCTAGCATTTTTTTCGAATATAAATATGAATCTTTATATAAATGCATATTTTATATAGAAAAATGACAGATCTTCCTACACAGCAAAAATGGAAATATTCTGCAAAACATAAAAGTAAATATAAAAATAAAAGCACATAAACATATTCATAAAGGAAATAAATTGAAAAAATTTCAAATCTTTGTAAAATCTTACTTCCCAATGTATGTATAACTAAGTTTAAATTTATTTTTAAATTTTTGTTGAAAAACTGCATATTCTCCATATTCCATGATTCCGTTGTTATTCCAATACCTTCCATTTTTGCTTTTGCAGCATTAAAATAACTTAATCAGAGCAAACACACAACAAAGTTTAGTATCAGCTACCTTTCTTCTTTTGTTTGGAGGACGACCTGAAGAAATACGATCCATCTGTTCCTACCAAAATAATGTAATCGAAGATCTGATTTCATATCAAATTTTCTAGTCCAATAAGGCAAAAACACATCTTCACTTACATGACTGTCTTCTACATATTACAACGTGAACAAACAACATTCCTTATGATTAGTTGAAGATTAATCAAAGTGATGTGACTAATTGTTCTTTGGGAAACAGTGATAACTCTTGAAATACAACATATGATTCAGAAAAAGGTAGCAAAAGCACATTAAGAAATAATCACCCCCAATAAAAGGATTTATTAAAGAATTTTAAGTAAAAAAAAAAAAAGAAAGAATCATGAACTTTTCCACAAACTTTTATAAGCCCTTTCATATAGTCTACAAAAATAAGATAAACGAAAAGAGATCCATGCACACTCTGGTTTATCATAGCACTAAGGATGAAAACAATGGAAGTATCCATCAGTGGATGAATGGATAAAACACTACATACACACAGACCAAAATACTATGCCACCGTTAAAAAGAGGAAAGATCAATCGCCCAAACACCTTACCACATGGATGAACCTGGAATGTACTATGCTGAGTGAGGTTAGTCGATTGCCAAAGGGCAAACATTGTACAAGACGACAGGTATAAAAAGTCAAGAAATGATTTCTAGACATAAACAAGCACGGTTTCAAGGTTAGCCAGGGTGGGCGGAGAAGGAGGGTCAATCACTCACTAGGGAGTGGACGCCGATTAAACCGAGGGGAAAGAAAGTGAAGGGACACTGCAGTGAAGAGAAAGGCAAGCTACAATCAGGAGAAACCAGCACAAAATGCTCAGGATAAAATAAGACACTAGGAGCAGGACAAGAGTTAAAAGCAAGAGAGGTGGATTTTAATAAACCCAGAATCCTGCACTAACAGTGCTAACAATCAGCAAGTAGACACGTACACACACAAACCGAGTAAGAGTGGGAAGGCGAACAAGGCTACACCAAAGAATATGACGAAGTCCGTCAGAGGACATTCCCAGTTATGTCCTTTCCTATGCTATAAGCATGCCATAGCATTTCTCACTGCTTCACATGCGCACGGAAGTTGGACACTGAAGAAGGAGGACTGAAGAAGAATCTAAGCTTTTGGATTGTGATGCCGGAGAAGAATACTGAAAGTACCATGGACTGCTAAAAGAACAAACCGATTTGTCTTGTAAGAAGTTTTGCCAGAGTGCTTTCCTTGTAATCTGGGGTGGCAAGCCTTTGTCTTACATATTTTGGACATGTTCTCAGGGCAAACCAGTCCCTGGAGAAGGAGATCATGTTTGGTAAAGTAGAGGGGCAGCAAAAAAGATGAAGGCCTGAATGGGGATGGTGTGGTAGTTACATAATCTGGTGTCAATTTGAGGATTCAGAGTGAAGGGGTGGAGTCTAACCTGTCAATCAGATCATAGCTTGATGACCTCATTTGGAGGCACAACAGAGATAAGTAGCTCGCTGGAGGGGGCACACAGGTTCACTCCCTGGGAGATAGTGCAGCTGACAAGACACGTGAAGCTTTGCTAGTGCCCTGAGCTGGAGGAGCCATGTGGAGACCCCTGCCAGCACAGAGATGTTTTATAATGCCACTGGATCGACAAGATTTCCCACCCACTGGCCTGCGATCTTCCTGCATTCAGCATCATTGCATGTGTTTTGTGAGGCTGAAAAGGTTTTTATAGATTGGTATCAGACTAAAATTGGACATATGGACTTGATCTGGACTGGGCTGGGATGTTTTCTCAATATTCAAATGCTCTTGTATATAAAGCTCTTATAGACATATGAGTCTCCCTGGATTTGTTTCTCTAGTCTACCCAGACTAACACAGATGGATTGACACAGAGGCTGCAACGATGGGCTCAAACACAGGACCAATTATGAGAGTGGCACCAGACTGCAGTGTCTCATTCTGCTGTGCACAGGGTCACTACGAATCGTAACTGACTGATGGCCCCTAACAACAACAGCATCTTACAAACACATCAGTGAATATATTGGAGCACAGAGGGGGTAAATTTATAAAAACGTCTTAGACATAACCAAGCAGCTTGCAGGCAATGAGTTGTTGAGCCTGAGGGCTTGGGATCATAGTCTTGGGGGACACAAAGGGAACATGAGGAAAAAATGTAAATGTTTTTCAATTGCACTGGAATTGCCTTTAAATTCACATGTAAACAGCTTAATGTTTGACTAACCTATATCACCTAATTTATCCAACTGTCTGATCTGATCATAATTTCAGGTCGGTTACTCTTAAAGGAGCCCTAGTGGCAAAGTGTGTTATGCCTCAGACTGGTTGGTAACTGCAAGGTCAGAAGTTCAAAACCACAATCTACTCCATGGGGGAAAGATGAGGCTTTCTACTCCCGTGCAGAGTTACCGTCTCTGTAGGGGAAACCCAAAGCGGTGTTTCCATCTGCCCTCTGGGGTCTCTGTGAGTCTAAATCAGCTCGACGGCCCTGAGTTTGGTTTATTCTCTTTAGAATTTAAGAACATTTTTTCCCTTAAAAACAAAATGATGTAAGTAGTTTTCCTAAGTAAAAACACACGTTAAATAATAAAGAAAACAGAACTGAGTTTTCATTAAAGCATAACTTCACGGTGACTGCTTGAAGTTCAATTAGGACAATTTGAAGATAAGACTAACAAGTCAGAAGAAAAAAGGCAGTCAGAGGAAAAAAGATCAATAGAAAATGTGAAATATATGTGGGAGGGGATATCTTTTTAAAAATTGGTGTATGCAGGAACATTTCCCTGAGAACGTGATGCCCAGCACTGTGTAAGTATAAGGGCATTAGAGGAAACTCAACTACATATTGACTGCACTTTACGGTTACATACACTACCTATACTATGGTTACATATACTGCAGTTTACCGTTACATATGCTACAGTCTTAGCCGCTCTTCTCTCAATAAAGAAAGCCAGGAAGAAACGCAAACGCGCTTTCTGACAGTGACATGACACACAAAGTCTAAACTCATGGCAAATTTCAGTCTAGAGTGCTGCATATCATTTTTATTCACCATGATCCAACCTAGCCACAATGTAAATCTCAAAGTTGCTTGTAATAGTGGCAGAGTATTATTAATTGGAAACTTGTGAAACTGGAAGCTTTCTGGAAACAGATGGCTTTAAACAGCTGATTACTCTGGAAGTGGTCATATTCCAAATTCAGCAATATCTAATTAAAGGGGAAGTTACTTTTCTAGGAAGTTCAGCTATTCTGAACAAAGCATATTTAAAATTCCTATTGTGGCAGAGATGCCACAGTATGTTAAAATCTGTGTATTTTAATATAAAAAGATTTTATATTAAGACTAAATTCTTAACTCAGAATCTATTTACTTTACTAGCAAGATTTCTCACCTCGTGACCCAATCACACAGCAAAAGCAGCCCGAACTTTTCAAAAGGAAAACAGATCCAGAATTATGTGAGAAATGGTAAAGAATGCAGCCACTGAGGAGTACATTGCAGCAACAAATTACTGTGCACAACAATGGCCCTTGGAGTCACCAGAAGATGGCACGCACTGCACCCGTGGGGGAAATTGCTTTATACATCTTGTAAGCACTTCCCTGAAAAACAACTTAAAATTTTAGCGCTTAAAGACACAAAATGATTAGTTGGAATATATATCAAATCCTCAGTTCTATAATCTCTGATCCAAATGAAATCACACTGCCTTAAGGTCAGTGAAGGGGAAAAATATTAATATTTATTTTCTAAGGCACGCAGTCTATTGTCAGGAACTGTTGAGATGCAAAGCCTTTCCGGTGCCAGCTTTGGGACTTTTTGTATTAACAATGAGAAACATCACAATATAGGGCTATTAAAGCTGCATACCTCAATTACTTTCCCTCAAATAAATTAAAATTAATAATATATTCCCTCAAAAGCAAATCCATTGTTATGTAAGTGTATAATTCACAATATGTTTGTGAGATTTCTCTGTTTGTGTGCGTGTGTGTGTGTGTGTGTGTGTGTGTGTGTATTTCTAGTGCACTATGGTGGAGAAGTGGGCTGCAAACCACAAGGTGGGAAGTTCAAAGAGAAGTTCAGAACCACCATCTACTCCACGGGAGAAAGAGGAAGCTTTCCATTCCCATCAAACTGTACAGTCTCAGAGACCACCCCCACAGGCAGTTCTGCTACGTCTTTAAAGGTCACTGAGGCAGAATTGATTTGATGGCAGTGAGTTTTCTTTTTTGTTGTTTTTGCCAAAAGGGGGTTTAGGAATCCTGAAGGCACTGTGAGGTAGTGGGCTACTAACTATAACAGTGGCAGTTCAAACCTCTCAGTTGCTTCTTAGGAGAATAATGAGGCTGTCTTCTCCCATGAAGATTTATAGTCTTGGGTGCCCGAAATAGGGTAGCTTTAAGTTGGAATACACTCAATGGCACTGGATTGCTGTTATTTGGCTTGGTTTAGTATAAGAGTGATGTCTGCCGCAGAAAGTTAAAAATCGATGAAGAAAATTATATCTTGATCCTATACCATGACTATGCATAATATCACTTGGAGTTAAAATAATAAGTTTGAGGGCCTTGATGAATCTTAGGACCACAAACAAAAAGTGACTCTCTTATAATCCTCCCTACTCCCACTATAGGCTTTTGAGTTGGTTAATTGTGCCAG